AAAAAAAAAAAAAAGCCAGAAGTGACTCTGTGGTTCAATTGGTAGAGTGCTAGCCTTGAGCACAAGAAGATCAGGTACAGTGCCCAGGACTGGGAAGAAGAAAAATAAAATCACAATCCTCAGAGAAGCCGATGCCTGCCTGAAGTTGATGAATTAGTTCTCTTCCTTGGCTTTTCTTTGATCTGACAACACTAAGTGGACTGAGGCTGTAGCTGACCAGTTCTCTCTTTCTGGTATGATGTTGGAGAAATATTAGGTGGAGCTCTGCAAGTCTTCATGTCTACCGTACTACAATGAAAGCACCTGAGCTTGGTCCTCAGCCTGAGCCCGGGCAGGGGGGAGGGGAGAAAGTCGGATTCCAAACGATAAGCCCATTCTGATGACAATCATGGGTTTATTGACAGACCTTCTAATATGACTAGACTTGGATTGCCAAGAACAGATCCAAGAGAGCCACGGCTCTTGGCTACTGTCACTGGATTGTGGATGGAGCTGAGAGGATTAGAACTGCTCTTGGCCCATCTTGCATGTCTCTAATCCAGGACAACCTATGCTAAATGTGAGTTTTCTATACTGTACAACATACAGTATCTCTCCCTTATGAAAACAAGACAAGCTCACATTAGGTGGGTGACTAGTGTCCAGAAGAAAGCAAGCAAGAACACTGGAGACACTTGAGGACTATTAGTCTTTTAGTTCCCCTTTTCAGGGACTAAGAGCAACAATAGAACCTTGGCTCTCTGCCTCCATACACATTACACTGCCACACACACACACACACACACACCCCATTCTGGCCACACACACACACACACACACACACACACACACACACACACACACCATTCTGGCCACACTCCTTTATATCCATCTCTAGAACAAGTCCAGGAACCATGACATGCCTTCACACTTCAGCTTGGTTTCAGATCAAATCACACATCACCTCTTCAGCGAGGACTCCCTGAGTGGTCTGTCTGAAGTCATACTCCATGCCAGGTCTCTGTCAGCTCTTCACACCATCAAAAAATGATCAATATCTAGAGTTCAGCCAGACCTGCACATTTGGAAAGATGCCAGCCATGGTAGAGGATATAAAAACTGCCATTTTAAAAGTAGCTGGTATCTTTTAGTTAAATCACATCCTGTTATAAAAATTGTCTTCCTACAGGCTGGAGACATGGCTCAAGTGGTAGGGAACGCGCTGAGTAAGAATTGCTTTTAAGTTCTACTTTGGCCAGTTGTCCAGGTTTTGGTTGATTGCTCTGATAAAATTTTAATCCTTTTCAACCTAACCAATTGGAGAGATTGAAAAAATAAATTTTATCAGGGATTAAACCTGGGCAGACTGCTGGCCCAGCACACTTGCATACTTGTTTTCTTGTTAGTAGCAGGCACTTTTGCAAAAGTAAACTTCACCTTGCTGAGTTCTTTCTAAGTTAGTGACCCCTTATTCCTATGTGACATTTCAGTATCTGGAGACATTTCCAACAATGGCATCCACTTATACTCCGTTGCTAAACTATTTGGCCAAAACAATGCTGTAAGCAATACCAGTAGTGTCACAAAACAATGCCAGGCATTTTCTCAAACCTTGGTATGTATCTGTTTTCAAATTGCATTCCTTGCAATAACAATCTAGGCTGATGCTAAATCCTCCCTTGAAGATAACAGGACCCCTGACAATCTCACAATGTGAATATAGCAATCCTAGAGCTAACAGGCTATTTCTGGCTTCTTGCCTAGATGCCAGTGACTGTTTAAGTATTTCTAATTCTGTGTAGATACAATTATCCTTTCATTAAATTGCTAAAACCAAAGCTAGGAATCATCTAAGTAATGGAAAATTCCTTTATTAAGTCAAAACCAATCAGTGACTAGGACTAAAAGTTTGCACACTACCCAAATGTAACTGATTAGCTCTTTTTAGACTAATGAAAAAAATTGAATAGGAGAGAAAGTTCTATATGCTCTTCCTAAACATAAAAATACTTTTGATTATAGGTCTTCCAATGAAAGTTCTTGGACTAGGTCCTGATCCAAGTTTTGTGAATGTTTTAGCCACAGTTATATAGCTAAGCCTTCTTTTTTCTAATCTTAAAAACTAATTGAGCCTATCTGAACAACAGCAAAAATAGTAGAAATAAAACAACATCACATTATTTAAAGATAAGAAACGTGTTTTTAAATGTATAGGGATTGTTAAAAAGAAAAAAATGGAGTTCATTATACTTCAGGCATTCACCTCACAGGCTAACTGATTCTAAGAGAGTTTAGAAGATCTCAGTCATTTTCTGTGACATGGGTGAGACACTAGTGGTGGGTAGTGGGACCAAGACATATTACTGCAGATGAAGAGATAGTCCCTGACTATTCTCATCCCCTGGGAAGCAGAATGACTTGTTCTGGAATGGAACGCTTGTTTGTGTCCCAATTAAACATAGGTTGGGAAGGAGAGGAAAAGACTGAACTGCCTGTATCTCCTCTGAATTGAAATATGGAAATCACTTTTCCCATTTATTTCCTTCCATATGATGAAGATATTGAAAGTGATGGCTGATTGTAGCATGTAACAGGAGAATACAGTTTACATCTAAGTAGCATAGGAATGGTCACTTACAAAGGGATTTAGAAGCCACAGTACAGAAAGAACAAGTTGCAGATGGCAAGGGACTTCGGGGAGCTGTTGTTACCAGTAAGATCTTGGGTCTTAGGGAGCTTCTGAAAAGGGCGTTTCTTATGTTAATTCCATGACAGAGTACTGGCAAGAGGAAGGCAGAGTTTCTCAGTGGGAACAGGTAAAAGTCAGAAGCCAGGCTAACATCAGCCCCAGATAGCTTTTGTTGGCCTACAGGTTACTCTCAGAACTCACAAGTGGGATGTAGCTGGTGATAGCACCTCAGCATTTACACCAAAAAGGGGAGGAAGGAATAGATTTCTCGAAACATCCAGACAAATAATTAAACTTTAAAGAACTTTCTCCCTTTTGTAGAGCAAAGCCTGTTGACTGAAGGCAGTTAGGTTCTAACCCCACAAAATAATCTCCCAATGGGGATTGTTAGCTCTGAAGCAGGTGGACCCCTACTTCCTCTCCCTAAGCAGTATCTTCAAGTTTGTGGCCTTTGTCCCTTTTCTGCAGCTTTGTAAGAATGTGTGCACTGGCTGAAATGATTACCTGTATTGATTCATTTCAGAGCTGAGACACACCTCCCTAGCCTTGTCTCTCTGTCTTAATTTTATGAGTATGGCCAGAGTTCACACCATGATTAGCTCTGCTCTGGAAAAGAGCAAGTGCATCTGGGAAACATAGATTCAATAATGAGGCAGATTTTGAGCCTATAGTGCATTTTGTCTTTAATGAAAATGACACACAGGAGAATGAATTATACACATAAAATGAGGGTTCTTAAAAAGCAATCAACTAGCCAGAACTTATAGCTTTTCCCCAAATATTTACCCCTCAGCATCACATACACCCCTATCTTTTTCTCCCTGCTTCACTGTATGATTTGTAGTTTTGATATCAGAGAGATGTTACTATTTGAACTAAGTCATTGGTAAGTTCATTTTAAAGCAATAACTAAAGAAAGCCAAGAGTAATCTAAGCATGTTCTGCCACATTGATTACAATTATTAAGGTTAAGCCATATTTGTAGGTCTACAATTACCTATTTACTTTAAACATTTGCTTCCTGTGGGATTGAGAGGGATGGGGGAGAATGATAAAATCAGTGATATTGATCAAGAGACACTGAACTCATAAACTGATATGTTGAATTGTAACCACTTTCTGCAACTACTGAAAGATCATAAATAAAACTGAAAACATAGAAATAAAATCTCTTTCCTTCTTCTAAACCTCCAGCCAAATGGAGAGCAATCGAAAGTGTCGGTATTACTAAACAGCATTTGGTAGTTTGGGCAGAGCTTAGTTAAATGTATTGCTACTCAAATGACATTGCTTTAACTTTTAAAGTTTCCGGACACATTTCATTTCTTTTCTATGAAGAGCCATCTAAAGAATTGATTCCACGATTTCCAGCAAACACACACACCCAAAGCTACATTTTCAAAGTGTTGCTTTACATTTGATCAACGGCCCCTGCAGGGCCTCTCATACTCAACAAAGAATCGGTGCTAATTTCTAATTAGTCTAAGTTTTTACTAAGGTCCTATCATTTATCTCAAAAATAAACCTTGGACACTTAAGAAAAAAACAATCACTAGATAATTGTAGTCCAGACCTTTCCACTAGCCAGCTTAAGTTCAATGCTAATCAAGGTTAAGGCTGAATCGTAACTGTTGTCCTTTGGGGCTGTAAGTGAAATGGTAAATTATCCAGAAAATTATTCCATCAAGTTTAGCTCCCTCGAATGAAGTTCTGTTCTCTAGAATAATAGTGCTCTTAAAAAAAAACAAAAACCAATTAAGTACCCTTAACCCATCTTACAAATGCAAGAGATTCGAGGCAAAATTCTACCAAGCTGATCAGAAAAACAGAAATTGGACAGAACACTCATGCTTTAATCATGCTTACTCACCCCAAATCACCTTCTCCCAGTCCCCGCCTCCCCCACCTCCACCGTCTTGTTAACAAACTAAGAATGCAAGAATAAAAGCAATAGTTACAAGGCTGACCCTTGCCATGCCAACAGCGGAAGCAGCGTGCCCGATGCTCCCCTTACCTGCGGTGGAGACAGTGCACCAGCTTGGTGAGCACCACAACCATCTCTCCCAGGTGAAGAGCCGAGAACGCCAGGGTCACCAAAGTGAAGACGGCAGGAATCTTCCTCAGACACTTTCCTCCCCAGGCAACACACCTCCTCCTCCTCCTCCTCCTCCTCCTCCTCCTCTTCTACCTCCCCCTCCCCAGGCTCGCCCTCCGGGTGCGTGCGTGCTCACCGCCACCCAGATCCTGTCATTTCTGCTCACTCATGCAGAAGCCTCTTTAAGCGCGGGACTGAGGCGTGGGCAAGAGGTGGACCCAACCCGGGTTCTGAGCCCGCAGATCAGTCTCAGCTGCGGATGCCCTGCACCCTCGCGATCGCTCCAGCTGGAGACCCGCAAGCCCGCACGTATCTGCTATCTGCGCAGAGATGAGCTTTCCAGGAACCAGCGTCAGCTGCAGCCGGAGGTCTTCACTGCTCGCTGAATCTACAGCTAGAGCAGTGCAAAGCTGGCCTGGTGCTCAGAAAGCGGCCCCAGCCACTGAGCATGCTCATCTCCTGGCCTTTCAACTGTTGGCTTTTCCAGATGCAAGAGAGGAATAGTGGAGAAGTGTATCCATGGCTGGTGCACTTGGCACACGCGCGCACACACACAACACACAAAAGAATATTTCTGACCCGTTCACAGAGCTGCTTTAAGAAGCCACGAACAGCATTTAGTCTTTGATTCTTTCTGCACAGTTAAGTTGCCTCGGGACCCATCAGGTTTGCAGTCTAGCCTGGGAAAGGATTAAATGCTCCATCACCTCACTCAAGGATTACGGTATGGAATTACCTCTATCTGAAAGTAGAGGCAATTTGCCACCAGGGAATTGATCTCTACACAGTGGAATCTGCTGCCTAGAAAACTTTCTGATGACAACTAGTTTATAAAGTAACTGGATAAAATTTTTTGGAATGGAAACATGAATCTATCGTATTATAATATATATATTGAAACTGTAGTCTTCCGCATGATGGTGGATTTCCACAGAGAATGGCTGAGTAATGAATTCCACGGTTTGTATGAGGAAGAATTGTGGGTTTGGTGGGGGAGCTGTGGCTGTCACTTTACTTGGAAAGACTAGGTCCGTGTGTCTGTCTGTGTGTCTGTTCTGTGTGTGTGACTGTGTCTGTGTCTCTGTGTGTGCCACTACAGGGGCTTGAACTCAGGGCCTGCTTGCTGGCTCTTAGCTTTTCTGTTGAGCCACAGTTCCACTTCTGACTTTTTTTTTTTTTTTGGTGGTTAATCTGAAATAAAAGTCTCACAGACTTTTCTACCTGGGCTGGCTTTGAACCATGGTCCTCAGAACTCAGCCTTCCGAATATTTAGGATCACAGTCTTAAGCTATAGGTACTTTGCTAAGACAAGTTTCTTGAACTTGATACAGATCCATGTTCTAATGCTTGGCTTTCGCAGGTCAAGTAGTTAAAATTAGGAATACACTGTAAGTTTTCATCATAAGCAAATTTACTGTTTGTGTTTTAATGTTTTTATGGCAGTCCATTTTCTTTTTATTTTCAGCTCTGTAGAGTGTTACTCACCAAGTTAAGTCAAATCCTGAGCCTGCTCTCTGCTACTTTTGAAACCAGCAACATGGTTTGCCTATTATAAAATTATTTTATTGTGTAAAATTTACAGATGGTCATCTCTGCCAAATCTATGGCTGACAACCCTAACAGGCTTTCTGACAGCTGGAAGGAAGTTGGAACACCTGTTAAATTTGTAGGAAAAATGCCAAGTGGACTGGAGATGAAGCAGTTCTCAAATCTTTATACTCACTAGCTCTTGGGCCAGAAAAGCACCCCCTCTACCCCATATCTTTCTGCCTTCCCATCATGAAGACTTGAATGTAACAGTCTTGAGCTCCCATTTTCTGAATGGGGGAGGCAGGAAATTTTTCTTGTTCTATCTCTCCTTACTTTAACCCTGTTATCCTACAACAAATCCTAGCTACAACTTGCACCTTGTGAGACTCTCCTTTTTATGAGACACTTGAATTGCTTTTCATAAGTAGTTCTCAAGGACCCAGGGTTTGGGGCAGAATTTGGAAAGCAGAGGGAAGCCCTCACCCATTCTCATAAAGAATGCCTACACATGGAAGTTCAGGAATAAAAGACTGGATAAATGTACTGATAAGGAAGGAATATCTCCCTACAATACCAGTGTGTGTTTATTAATCCTTATTCAAGGTATAAGGAAATGTCTCTTAAGGGTACTGCGTAAAAGGTTCATAATAAAGGAAATCAGAGGGGATGAATTCCTCAGTCCCTCAAGTAACTATGGAAGCCATGCGCCCTTCTCTTTCATTTTCTTCTGTCTTTCTCTCTGGTCATGAGGAAAATGAAATAAGAACCATTGCCAGTATTCCTCTCGATATGCCTACACTGGGTTCCAAAGCCTCAGAACTCTAAGAAAAAGACATTAGTCTGTCATTGTAGTGCAATATGGCATCAATATAAATTAGAAAATGGAAAATGCTGGCCTGTAAATGAAAGCTTCGATTTTAGTACTGTTCTCCAGCTGTTCTTAATTTTGTAAATGATAGGTAAAATTGTCCAAAATTCTCTATGCACAGCATTTTTTTTTCCTGATGGCTGCAATGTCTCATTGTAAAGAAAAACTTGGATCTTTTCCGAGGAACCTAGAAAATTCTTAGATGGATTTAAGGTTATAACAATTACTTTTGGCCCAACCTGGAAGGATTTAGATGTTTTGTTCTCAGTCTGTTGCATGCCTAAGGGAAGCAAAGCATTTGGACAGCAGCTGGAGCCTTTGCTGATGATGTCCATGTCAAAGATGAACGTAAACCCCATTTGAGATGTCACCATACTCAAAACGAAAATCAATTAGAGCCACATTATAATGTCAGTGCACCTAACTTTTGATCATAAAAAACAAAAGGTCTTCTTAATACTAACGCTGTCTCAGAGAAACAGCGCAAAACTTATCTGGAAATGCCAGGGTCCTTTAAGATTTGAACCCTGGTCTTGCAGTAATAACAAAGCCCCTTTGTGAGACAGCTCAGAACTTGGCAGTCAATACCTGGAGCAAAATGGTCAACATCAAAAGCCCCTCAAATTTAAATGTTGGGTGGTATCATCCCTTCTCCTGGGAACTCAGATTTAGGTAAGTCTTTAAGAAACTAAATGTCAAGACGGGGTATTGAAAGTTTTTATTCTATGGGAAGGAACAAAAATCTATAGCCTATGTCTTATTTTTCAATAAGATGCTGTTGCATTTAGATTTACATTTCAAAAACAAATCTTATTTCTGTTAAGTTCTTAACCACAGAACCAGATTCATCAAGTGAAGAATCTTATTCCTACGAGTCATTAAAGTGTCTCCCTCCAGGAGACACTGGGCATTACAGTAAAATTTTATCCATAAGAGTAACTGATCTAAACATTACAGCTAAAATAGAAGACAGATGGAAATTGGATGCCGTCTTTACTATGGCTATCAACCTCAATATGTGAAATCTGTAGACATTACAATTCCTCAATGCTGATCTGTATAGGAAATATTCTTTTAACGGATTTTTTTTTTTTTTTTTTTGCTAATGTCTCTTTGACTTCCTTTTCGTTAAAGGGCTAACTTAATGTCTTCTGATCCTGAGATAGTGGTAGCCTATTAACCAAATATCCTGACAATTAAAATTTCCATGTCACCTCCTCTTTTATATAGGAAAACAACTTTTTGTTTCCCCTTTTCCAGGCAGGGAAAACAGTCCACTTTCAACAGCAAGCACTTACAGAAAACAGTCCTTCTCTGCATCTCGTTTAATATTAAAAAGGACCAGGCCAGGGCCAGTAGTTAACCCCTATAGCCACTCTGAAGGCTGTCAAAATTTGAAGCCAGCTCAGGCAAAATTTTCTTGCATCTCTTATCTGCAATTAACCACCCAAATGCAGGTGGAGCTGTGGCTCAAGTGGTAGAGCACTAGCTTTCAATAAAAAGCTCAGGGACAGGGCCCAGGGGGCCTAATTTCAAGCTGTAGGACCAGCACAAAAAAGAAAACAAAAAGTTAAAAGGGACCAATGTCATTTAGGAGTAGATGAGAAGACAGAGAAATTATGTGTGTGTGTGTGTGTGTGTGTGTGTGTGTGTGTGTGTGTGTGTGTGTGTGTGTGTATGTGTGTGTTTAACAAATATCAAAAAGCCAGGCTCGGAAGTTAAAACCATGAGCAGATAAGCTGCTCTAGGCACCAGACCTCCTTTTAAGTTACAGGATTAGAAGATAGAGGACGGGCTATCAAAATCTGCCTTCTCTTTTAAAGTCTAGGCGAGGCTATCTAAATCCATTTTATCCTTTGAAGTGGTAAAGATCTGCAAACTCTTCATGTGAGGGTAAAGACAGAAATTATGAAAGATTAGTCTGACAAAAGGAGGTCCTAGCGGCTACCTGGGTTTTAGTAGGCCTCACCCATCTCACCTGCCCCACCCCATTGTCTAAGGATTAAATTAGTCTTTGCTAGTGTAACAGCTGTAGTTAGGAACCACCATCTTGAGACTCAAACTCCCATTTCCTAAACAGAACAGGAAGAATTTCTCTTCTTTTCTGTTTCTCCCTATTTTCTAGCTTAAGCAGGTTGTAATAAAAATCAATGTTGTTAAAACTTAAAAAATAAATACATGAAGACTTTTCCCAAGAGGGACAGCCATGTAATTATAGATATTTTGGCATGTCATTATTCTTTATATAGTAGTCTATGTATCATTATTTTAGTTCAATCAATATCTGATGTTAAGATATAATAATGCTGGCTGATTACTATAATAGATATCTATGATACCTATGTTAATAGGTGTAGTGCCTGCTATATTAAATATTAATTATGACTATATTAAGTATTAACTATGACCATTATTACTAACAGGCACCCATTATAATAATTGGTCAAGGCCCAATAAGGAGACAGAAATTCCACAATAATTTGAATGGAGAGAGCATAGAATGAACAATGACTATTTACACTATTTACAGCAAAACAAACAAACAAACAAAAAGATAAGGCCTAAAAGAGAACTCTAAGGAATGACCCAAGGCTGAAGCAGAGTCCTCAATGAAAGAGGCTCTCTCCATAACTGGGACTCACAGTAGAACCGTCACTGCCCACTGGTTGATGGAGAAGTTCACTAGGTTGCCCAGGCCAGAGCTGGTCTACAATTAATGGATGGAAACACAGCTTGAGCACTGAGCTGCAACTGGCAAAACTGGAGCCTCCTGCAGAGCCCCCAGTGTGAGCTGAGAGTCGTGGGCAAAGCGCTGCCCTCTGGGGTGTGAATGAGATTTGCTGAACAACTGGGTACTGGCTGGACTAGTACCCAGTGATGGCAATCACTTGTGTGAGCCATTTTGGTAAACTCTCTGGACTGCCGCTGAACTTCCCAGAATCCATCATGGGAAAATGTCACTTAAGTTGCACATGGGAAGCTAGATGGTG